GTAGTCTCGAAACTCTATTTGTAGACGAAAAACTTTCTAGACCTAGTTTATTCGAATACGACTAAAGTAGTCAATTATAATGGCAAAATACATGTTTGTCTAACTACAGCCCCACTATAAGTGTGAAATGGAGGAGGTATGGCTGTCTTTGAGATTCACGTCCTCCCTGTAACCCATGGACAACTTGACTCTGCGGCGGTGTCGAAATCATACGCTGCACTACCACAACTCAGATTCGAGTCCTGCTGAGGGCGCAGATGAAACCCAGACGAAATCGAAACTGCCATCCAGTACAGCCTAGATGGGAATGCCTTTGAGATAACAGGGCCATGTGAAATTTAGTGGAAACTTGTGGCCCAGTCATAGCATTGTGGGGAAACTTAGCTATCAGTCAATCATCACCTTATTCAACCTAAGGTGGATATAATCTTTATTAAAGCTTTATTGATAGTTTCGCAATTCACCATATACAATTATGCTAAAAAGGAAATGAGGTTTGTAAAGTGAGCAAGGCTTTAGGACGATAAAAAGCAGTTGTCTAGGTGTGTGAATTTGTGTGTGTGTGTGTGTGTAAGAGAGAGAGAAACAAACAGAATGAGTGTGACCAAGATGCTTGAAGGTTCATAGCAAGAGAAGATATGCGTAAAAAACAGGCCGTTGATATATCAGCATGGAAAAATAGCTGAGCAAAGTGAATAGGAAATGTGGCCGGAAGTGACAGTGAAGCAAAGTGAGGAGGGAAGAAATGTGGCCGTTTTAGTGGAACACACAATAAGCCGGAGCTTCTTGTCTGGTGTTTGCTGAGTGCGGTTGCTTTAAAATCGCATGGGAGTTCGTTCATTTTCCTCATGGTGTGTCGGAGCTGGTTCTCATTCGCTCCTCCGCTCTGTACCTCCTCCGTTAACCGCCACAGCTCCCGAGGGTGTAGACCTGATGGCCACTTGGATGCTGCCCTGTAAACCGGGCTTGCATGCACCCATTTCCTTGGCCCTACCGAAGGCGTCAGCAACGGCCCTGGGGCCGGCGTCAACGGCAGCCTTCGCAAGAAGCCAGCCTCGTCCCGCCAACAGTTACCTCGACCTCTGCGTGGCAGACTCGGCAGCACCGGGCACCTTGAGCAGCGGCACGGTTAGCGACGGTTTCGGTCGTAGCGCCAGTACAGCCACCCTTGACCTCGTCGTCAAGCCGACATCAGGAAAGGCGATGCCTGGCACTTCTGCCGGGCAGACGTCAAAACTGGCCTCTTCTTCATCAGTGGCCGCTTATGCGGTGGCTGCCAATTCTCACAGCATCATCACCAACAGGAACAACGGTACAGTTGCGTCGAACGCCATCATCTCGGATAATTGTGACTTTTCTCATCCGCCCGACCTTCAACTCACTCGCTCCACCGAATTGACCTCCGATCGTCAAATACGAAGTGGGGCTCAAGCCTACGGTTTGGCATCAGCGTGGCCAGCCTCTTCACATTCCTCACTCTCCGCTTCTGTATCTCGGTCTTCCTTGTTGTTAGGCGGCATCGCGACCAGCTCGACATCTGCCGCCACAACAGTCGTGCCGGCACTCCGGCATCCGGAAGAGCACCTCCATCCGGAGCGAGTCGAGCTGTCTCGCACCGAGGACGTCAGAATGGAGGAGACGTCCTTGCTGTTGGAGGACGATGAGGCGCCGTTGGACACTGAAGATGAAGAGGTCTGTCGTCTGATGGCCAACGAACCGGTTCAAGAGAGCTCTGTTGTCGGCAGCGCTGCCAAGTACAGCACGGAAAATATCACCGCGGCGTCTGGAAAGTATGGTTATGAGCTGTTGATGCCGCCGATGGGCTGTCGGACAAGCCAGGAGCACCGCAGCGCCCACGAGGCTCAGGATGCTTGGTTAACCGTGGCCACATTGACAGAGCCGAGTAGGCGGCTCAACGAGAAGGAGGCTATCCCGGGACTGACAATGAAGACTTCGGTTGGCGCCAGTTGGTTGCAAGCACAGCCAGTCCGAAGAGTATGTGTCTTTTATGCGAAGAAAAGTTGGGTTTGGAGGAATATCTTGTTGCACAATTGTTGAGCTTACTTACATTTCGAATGAAAGTGTTTGGTGAAGAGATTCGAAGTTCGATTTCACCAGAAGACAACGGAGGATTCCTTTTGACCATTTTTCGATTAACTTAACTCGAACATACATATTGACGCTGTTTCCGAGGTAATCTCCCTCGATTCCGGTAAAAATGTGCTAAGCTTT